ATTTTATGTCCATTAGGTCAAGCAGCTTATGTTTTGGTTCTGACTTAGTTGAGAACAGCAGTTATAAGAACAGTACTTATAATTAGGAAGGGTAAGAGAAAAGCTATCCACAAACACATCTGTAAACTTTTTTCTGAAGAAACTTTAGGTACACAATTCATTTGAAAATTGGACGCTATCTATATTTAGCTTCTCATTTGCTGACATTTCTAAATATGATAATTAAATTATTCCACGTTACAAAGATATCCATAAGCCAACTTTTAATTTGCAATATTTAAGAAATAAAAATATTATGTCATATTTCACCCATCAAGCACATTTCCTCCTCCAGAAAAACTGAAAGGAAAATTAATGCCAGTTTATTACTCCCATGAGTTAAACATATTAAGTTAGAAAATAATTTTAAACCCTGAATTACTCAAGGCCTCTATATAACTTGCAAAATTTCCCTCAATTGAGCAATCTTTTCCATAGCTGACTTAGAGCAGAATTTTTAAAATTCTACACATTTGATAACATAAGGAAGCTAGGTTTCCAGGCTAGGGATAATACGTATAACAATTATCACTGAGAACCTGATACCTATTGCATACTAGGTATCACTATTAAAAGTGACCAAAGGGACTCAATTCAAAATATTCATAAAATTAAACTATTTTGAGGCTATTTAACACCTTGGAAAAAAGACATGATCATTTCTTCCTTAATATTCAACACAAGTGGATAAAATGTCCTATATTGGACACTATTTTTCTAAAGGGGCCGCATGAGCAACTGCCTAACAAAGAACAATATAAACTCCCAGAGTTTGGGCATTTTACTATTATTTGGGCATCGGTAATAATTTGATTGTTTTTTGTTCTAAAGCCTCCTGATGCTGAGGAAATCTAGACCATCATCAATCTAAAGAGAGTGTGTCTACTTGACATCACACAATCTCATTCATCTTCATCTGTCTTTCACTTCCTGTCACTCTTATGCAAAATGGACACTGAGGCTGCACCTTCTCTTCCCCTTCATGTGTACGCTGGGGGAGGGGGTGGGAGGTAAAATGTCTGTGGAGATTTCCGAGACCACCAGAGACCACACAGCAGACACTGTCCTCAGCCTGGGAGCCTGGGGTGCTGCGGTGCAGCTTATGGGTTTGACATAAATACGACACAGCAGGAAGCAGAATTACGGGATTCTTGAACTATGCATCACGCTTCCTTTGCTGGATCGCCAGAATCCCCAAGAAACTCCAGCTTTCGTTTCCCCAGACTACATGAAACTGAAATATTGTCCAAAAAGACACGAACAATGCACACCATATGGGCCACGGAAGGCTATCAATTTCCTCCTCTGACAGGCCAGGCATTCACCCTGTTCTAATGTACTAACTTAAGGGCATCATGACATAGAGGCAGTGGGTTAACACAACAGGAGTGTGGAGTATGATGCCCAAACGCCTAAATTAAATGTAGCCAAAGTTAGACTAAATGTATTTTTCTTTGACACTAGAACAGTCCTTTTTTTTCTTTCCAGTTTTCGGCTAAAAATAAAACACCTTTTAGCATTAGCACATGAAATTTACTTTAATTTTTTTGTCACCTCTTCTCTTCCGACTAGTTTCCTCCAGACAAGACAGGTGGGAAAAACTAAGTCTACTCATTTCATAACAGGAAATTGTTTGTGTTTTTTTTAAATTGTCTCTTAAGGCTGTTTTGTTTCTACCAGCACATTTAGAGCATATTGTGAACACCATGTTCTAATCACACATGTGCCAAAACATTTTTTTACAGTACTATTACACCATACACAAATAATACTCCATAACAGTTCTTCAGAGAAAAAAAATCTGGAAAGGATATAGACTTCTGATGTACCATATATCATCTGAGTAGTAACAAAAGTACAGTTAAGAAAAAAATTCATACTCCATAGGAATATGAAATTCTACCTGAAACAGAAAAAGATTAAACTATATTTTACAAAAAACACTAATTATTTAAAGCATTGTTTTTGCACAACTACAGAATAAGATGCAGAATATTTAGCCATGGTTCAATGTACTACATTCAAAGCTGTACTTGAACGCATAGCACATCATCTGATGACCTTGAAACCATTCTTAAAAACACTTTTTCTCATTTACCAGTTTTATGTTTTGCTGCCAGTAATAATTTTATTTTCACCTATTACAAATTAAACATACATTTTCAAAAATTCGAACACTAAATTAAAGACCTTTAGATTCCTCCTGACCTAGTGAAAATAAGTCTCTGTGCTTAACTGGCAAACACTTACAATATTTTAATTTAAATGTGCTGACTTAAAATTAATTGGTTAAAAACACAGATTTCTAATTTTTAAAAATGAATCAAAGTGTGTATGTATGTATGGGTGTATACATATGATGTATGCATGTATATATGTACACATACATATATACATATATATAGATACGTACGTTTGCATACGTTTGCACTTTTCTCTGAAGCCTCTTGAAGCAAAGTTTAATTAGTCAAGAGGTGTTAACAGTGTGTAATAATAATAATATTGGCTCTTAAAACACTTATTTTGAACAATTAGGTGTTTTTAAAACCGAGGCATTAAAGGTAACATTTTATAACCGATCAAAAATATGACTAGAATTTTGACAAGATGTTTCCCAAACTTTCATTTTTCAAAAGTCTGTGATGTTGGGCAGTCACTTATGAGTTGCTGTGAAGGGAACACAGCACCACCTTCTAAGGCAAATGTTATTAGCAGGCAAGAAACACACAAGGACAATGCAAAAAATCTGAAATGTGAAACAGAAGCAGCACTTCCATCTCTTTAATCTCCAACTCTGGAGACAAGCTCTGCCCCAAATCTGGTTAATCATTTTCTCTAAGAGATCCAAGATATCCACAGACTAAATTATCCTTAAGAGAATGGAAGTCATCTACCTTGGGATTTTGACTTATTCTAAGATGAACTTGAAAAAAGGCCCAAGACTTTAGAGTGGCCCAAGAATAACTGCTTATCTCTAGGTTTATCTTAAACATTTCTCAAGCTGTTTTGTACAAGCTGTAGGTAAAAACTAGGACAAATTACATCTCACTGTAAAACACAGCAGCTAGGGTTCAATTTAGGTCTTACAGAGAGAAAAGTAAGCAAAATAGATTATAAATCAACAATTCCCCTGTACTAAATAACAGGCTTACAAAATGTTACACATATAAACATGAAAAAAATGTATCCTTTAGAAAGGAATTTCAATTCGTTTCTCCTTTTCTATTTTGAGCGAGATTACATGTATAATTGGCAGACACAGCCAGACAAGCCACGGCAGAGAAATGCCAATCTGAGAAAAGGCAGCGGGTTCCACAGAACAAGGACATTTCAAGGCGGCTGGTTTGTAGCCAGTCAGATGACAGGCAGGAGAAGCTGGGCTCTGAGACTTGGCCGTTGTTCTTAGTGCCCAGGAGAGAATTCACGCAGGGGAGGTAGGAAGAATCCTAGTGCAGCCTTAAGATTCCGGCCCCTGGTGGACACACACCATTTCTCAGTTATTCAATCACATGCTAACCTCGGTGCCACTGTGAGGGGCTTTTGCAAATATAATTAAGGTCCTGAATCAGCTGACTTTAAGGTGGGGAGATTTTCCTTGGTGGGCCCAGCCTGATCAGGTGAGACTTTGAGAGAGACTGGGCTTCCCTGGCAACGGCAATTCAAAGCACGAGAGGGATAAAATATAAGAGATTCTCTACTGCTGTGTTTGGAGATGGGGAGGGGCCATGTGGGTGATCTCCAGCAGCCAAGGGTGGCTCCCAGCTGAAGCCAGTAAGGCAAGTCAGCCCCTAGGCCTGCAATCACAGCAAGTGAATTCTGCCCCCGCCACGTGACTGAGAGAGGAATACCAGCTCCTCAGGAGAACGTAGTCCGCAACACCTTGTTTTTAGCCTTGAGTGAGTCCCTGAGCAGACGGCTCAGTCACGCCTGCCCAGGTCTGACCTACCTACAGAAACACTAATAAATGGGTGTGTGAGGCTGCTAAATTTGAGGTAGTTTGTTACGCAGCAAGAGAAAACTAACACAAGCAAAACCTGGGCTAAGTCACGCTGCTTGATTAAGAAGAACCTCAAGTTTATTGTAAGCCCAAAGCCCCAAAAGGTATCTAACCCTGAGGACATGTAATAATATTAAGAAACCAAAGAAAAGCACTATTAGGTCAAGCATTGTAGAAAAGGAAGCCTGAGAAATTTTAGGAAACCTGAGAAAATTAGCCATGGGGTTACCAGGAGACAAATGTCATAGAAATACAATGTACTCTTACCAGGTAGAAGGTGATTTTTCTGGATTCAACACCTTTACTTGTGAAACCAAAAGGTGGGACCAGGTCATCTTTACGGGCTCTCTTAGCACGTTTTATAATCCGTGGTCAGATACAGTCCTACCTTTACAGACATCAGAGATGCTTGGGTACCAGCCCAGATCCCACAGATGCTCAGAACTCACCTAGTGTCTTATAAAGAGCTGCATCAGAAAGCAAACCATTTACTCAGGCCCAATGCTTTCCTAGATTGACCAAAGGGTCTTTAACACTTAGCAAAATACCAAAATGAATGAAAGCAACGCTTTCTTTCTACATAAAAGCTCCTTTCATGTCTTCAAATGGACCATTTTTGAAATCCCATTTTTAAAACCCGAAGTCTGTGTATAAGTGCACAGGTGGAGCAGCTCATAAGCTCATATACTCTTAACAAAACGAGAAATTGGTTCATGCTCAATTTAAATCCTTGTGAAAAATTACACATTAAGTACAAATTAGACACTTAAAATTCAGTTGACTCCATTATTAAACTATGACCCAGAGGGGAAAAGTGGTAGCAATAGCTTTAGTTTAAAATCTTTCTGTATCCTCTAAATGAAAAATTGATTAGAAAGTAATATGACATAAAAAAAACACCACCAATATGACCAAATGGCCAGTTCCTGATTTTACCACACACACACGCTGCCTTCTTTCTTACCTTGTCTATCCTATCTGGGCGGTTGGTAGCTGCCAAAATTGTCACGTCCTGTAACTGTTCAATGCCATCCATTTCCGTTAGGAGCTGAGCCAAAACACGGTCGGCTACATTCCCCGCATCTGAAGAACTGATTTTTAAAAATAACAGTTTTAAAAATCTGTTTATCTATCCCCAAATACTCTGTTATTTTAAAAATAGCATATATTCTATAACAAGAAAAACTATGTTTCAAAATATAAAATGCATGCTTCAGAATTTATTACTTGTTAAACGATCATATCCTCAAACGAACTATATTCAAATTATTTATTTTCCTCCACCATCAACCATGTTTATTTTCTCTCCAATAATGAAATGCTGGGTGAGTGTCTCATATAAAAGATCCAGGAAAAAAGAGAGAAGATAATTTATAAAGAAGTTGATATATAAGAGACATGTAAGGAGATAAACCAATGTTTCCATCAGTCACTGGCGGAAAAGGACTTCAACCACAAACACACTGGCTTTGAGATGCCCGTGGGACAACTTGAGATTCAGACATAAAAGAAAGAGGCCTCAGGTAGAAACTGATCTCTGGAAGTCTTTGCCATAAAGATGGTACCTGGAGAGGTGGAAGTAGAAAAGATCACCTAGGAAGTGTACAGTGAATCAAGAAAAATAAATCAATGACAGGATATTAACACCGATGTTTCATAATAGAAGGGTGTGTACAGTTAGCTCATGAACTGTCAAATACTGGGGAGTCAAGTAAAGGGATGAAAACTGCTGACTGGGTTTATCCACAGGAAAGCTTTACTCCCTAGCAGAGAGTTACACGCACACAAAAACCCTTAACCTAACTGCACTACTAGACAATAGTCAATGCTTCGAATTGTTGTGCCTTACCTAAAGGAGTGTGTGTACCATAACTAAACAGCTCCAAGGGAAGGGCCTCCTTTCATCAAAAGAAGAAGTCCTGGGGCGATGCCACAAATCATGTCACGTGAGCTGCTGCAAACTGTCTTCCCCTGACAGGAGCTATGCCAAATAACGTCAGGACGCATCCTTAGTTACATCCTGTACCCTCTCCCTTCCTCCTCCGATGAACTAGTAAGACTGCCAGATGTCCTAGTGGTAAGTGTGAATGTATTAGCTGAGCTTGCTGAAGTAAAAAAAATAGCGACTAGATTTTGTCCCAGATTAGCCAATGGTGACTGCGTTATGGTGGGAGGAGGGTCAGAGGGAAAACGAGGGGAATAATTGCATTAGAAAGGACAAAAATTCGTTCAATTCAATTCAGCTCATTCATTCGACAAATATTTATTGCCTAGCAGGCCAGGCATAGTTTTAGCAAATACGAATGAAAAGGTTAAGAAGGCAGCCCCATATATATAATTAAGTTAGAGGCTAAGAAAATGAGTTATTTTAATAAATAGATTTATTATTATTAGAAGCCACTTATAGACAGAGGGTCACATGGTGACCGTTTTACAAAATTCATTAGTATACCAGGGGCAGCAATAGTCTTTCTCAAGATGTTTCCTCACCGACCTGAAAAGTATGACCTTCATTATTGTTGCTATGCTTTGTTACCGAATTACTATGACTGTCAGCTAATTAAAAAGAACATCTATCATTTCTGCATCCTGAGCACAAATGACAAAGCTTTGCACGTCCAGACCCACGTTTAGAGTTAGTGTGTGCAAAAACTAATTGAGATGCCTACCATTGGGAACTTTTTGTGACATTTTAAAATGTATGCTAGAAAAAAATGTAAAACTTTAAATTGGACACATGAGATAGCCTATAATCTAGAATTTGTTTTTGAAAAAGCATTGCTTAGCACTTCATGAATCCTTTTCGGAGCTCTTTGACAGATGAATATATTCCAAAGCTTACAAATGCTTCTTTATAATGATGATGATGCTTCTATGAACATAAATGCAGGTCACAAAATTCCAAAAGACCATCTCAGTATTTAATTAAAAAAAAAATCGGTTCACAAATGACACTAGGACGTGGTAATGTCAGATTCCGACGAGAGAACCGAACCTCTTGTTTCTGAGGCTTCATTCTCTTATTTGAAAAATCAATGTCTGGGTGCTTCTTGGATGGACAGCTGAGACAAGAGGGTGGAGACATTATTGTTCCCTGAGAATTTCATAATTATTGCCATGTATGAATGAGGGGGTTGAATTAAATAATACATATACAGGTCCTTCTAGCTTTCAAATTCTGTGATGGAATTATGTAGCACCTAAGTAAAGTTATTTATTCATTATTTTTAATAAAAATATTTGTATTCAAGGGCCGGATGAGTGGTGCGATGGTTAAGAGCTGGCTTGGGACACCAGAGGGCCCCGGTTCGGATCCCACATATGAGGGCCAGTGACACTGCCCTCAAGAAAAAAAATTAAAAAAAAAAAATATTTGTATTCAGAAACTTATTGACACCTCCAATCGGGCACTTCTAAACAGAAAGAGGCGAACTTATACTTGTCCGATTTGCTATTTGCTGTGGGAGGAAATGGTGGCTGTAAATAACGTGGAAGATTAAGTGAAGGGAATTCTTTGGATTCTCATTACCCATGCTGCCTTGCCCTTTATTTCCAGAGATCATTGAGAGCTAGCTGGAGAATAGCACAGTGAAAATGTTTTATGGGCTGAGAAATATTCTTGGCTGAATTTCAAAGCTGCAGTAGGAAACAAAAATCATAAAACTTGACATTCTAGGAAATCAAAACCAACTCCCAGAAAAAGTTTAAAAACAAATGTGTAATCACTAACATAATGAAACGGTTTTATAAAACTTTATTATCTGCTAGAGATAGGCAACATGACAATGGGGGAAAAAAAAGTTCAACTGTAGAAAAGACTGAAGCCGGACTTTCCCAAAACATTAATTCTCTTTTCCCTTAAGAGGTCAAGCTCCCCTTCCAAATTATTCATATTCAAAAGTTATATGGTGCCCTGGACAGAAGAGACTTTACGACATCTTAATATGGGTCCGTAAACGACAGCCTCAGACCCAATCTGGCCAGCCAACTGTTTTTTTATTTGATTATATACTTGCTGTGGCTGCTTTCACACTAAAGCAGCAGAGATGAAGTTTCATTAGACTGTATAGCCCCCAAAATGTATTGTACTAACTGGCTTGATACAGAAAAGTGTGCCAACCCCTATCTTAAAGAAATCTCACTGCCATGGTGGTAATTAGTACACTGATTTTATTTTTCAATACTAAATATTTCACAAAAATGGTATATTTATTTCCTTCTCAGTTCCTCCAATAAAATGCTCCATTGTCCCTTCATATGATATCTAAATTACAGGCTAACATCTCAAGCATCCAATTTACATTTTTTTCTAGTATACATTTTAAGATGTCTTTATAAAGAGTTCCAAATGATAGGCATCTGAATTGTTTCAGGCTTGGAAGAGAGCTAAAAAAGACCGAAAGAAGGCTCGCCAAACAAATGCTATTCTGAACACAAGCCTTACCTATGACCATTCTCTTGGGGCACACAAAATGCAAGCCAACTTTCTTTTAAAGGCAAGCCAGCTACCATAAGAGAAACTTTGTGTCCTACAACAAAAAGAACCCCCAGCTCCTAGTAAAATGCTGCAACAGGCCCTCTCTAAGGAAAGTTGGAGCTTTAATCTATATGCTAGAGTACGTAGCTCGGACAAAACACACACACAAAATATTCACAAAACTTTGCTATACGTTATGAAACTAATAAATTGAAAAATCTGTTACACGCTTTCCATTTTTCTTTTGCTCTGTTTTCCTCTGCATTTCTGTTTAACATTAAAAGTTTACCGATGTGAAAACTTATATCTGAGGTGATTAAGTATAAATTAGAAAAAACTGCATAAAAGGAAATAGGCATTGAATCGAGCACCTTGAAACACGGCTGTACAACAGTGGTTAAAAGTATTTAATAAGTGGTTATTGTCAGTTTCTTAAACATAAAAGATTCTTTAAATAGAGAATTTTTACCCTGACATGAACACACTTTTTCCATCCTAAATCTGGATAGTGCAAGAGGCAGTTCAAAGAACACTAAATAAGAAGACATGAGTTTCAGTCTTGTCGAGGCCACATGAGTTAGGGGCCCCTTCCCTTAAATTCTGGGGATAAAAACTTGCACTAGATGACTTCTAAGAATTTTTCCAGCTATAAAACTTTATGGTTTTATGAAATTTTTAAAGCCACTATAAAAAAAAATCACATTAAAACAATTTATAAACTCTCCTGAAAAGTGTCATTTAGAGAAATGATGCCTACAAAAATTTCTTCTACAATGCTTAGTGTCATGAATTCACGGAATTTACCCAAAATCTGAATATTGTGAAACAGGCTACCCCATTTCCTGATCTTTATTTTAAAACTCAGAGCTCTTGACAGAGTGCTGCTAACCCCAGAATGCTCATTTTCTTTTCTTTTTTTTTTTTTTTTAAAGATTTTTTTTATTGGGGAATTAGGGGAATAGGAACAGTGCTGGGGAATTGGGGGAAGGGGAACAGACAAGTTGCTGTCGTTTTGTTCTTCAATCTAGTTGTGGAGGACGTCCTTCACTGGCCCAAGTTGGCACCATCATTGCGCTCTTCCCGGGCGAGGCAGATCAGTCGCCGGCTTCTGGACGGCCGCTCACTGCGGCTGCTGGCCGCTCACGCTGGCTGCTGGCTACACACGGTAGCCCATGACAACCCACTGCCACAGGGGCTGCAGCCTATGCCGTCGCCGGCGACTCATGGCAGCCCAGCTCCAGGTTGAGCTGTTGTTCAGCATCTTAGCTGTAGAGGGCAGTGTCACTGGCCCTCATATGTGGGATCCGAACCGGGGCCCTCTGGCATCCCAAGCGAGTTCTTAACCATCGAGCCACTCGGCCGGCCCCCAGAATGCTCATTTTCAATGACAGCTGACTCAGACCCTCTTACTGCTTTCCTTAACCACTCCACGTAGAAATCAATTCTGGACGATTAAGTGCAGAAACAGCCATCCAAGGCAGCAGTTATTAATATCACAGACTCTCCAACACCACACACAAGAGATCAAGCAGTCAGCGTTTAACTAAGCACTTAATCTTTTTCATTTTTCCATATATTTAATCAACGTCTTTACATTTTAGTCATAAAACAGTATCCCCCCAATTTTTTTATATAATAGCATTAGTTTTACAAAATTGAAGAGACCATCATCTCTTTCTCCCCAATAACAATAGTCTTTCTTCTATTTCTAGAATACAAACTATTTTGATGTTTAAAATTTTGAAATCAGGATATCTCTTAGAGTTGGTGATTTCTCAGCACCATGTCATAGTTTAAAGCTGCATTTTTCTTCAGTAATACTACATAAAATAATGACATGTCTTACAACTGATGGCATCTTAGACTGATGAAATATAGTGCCCGTCACCTGTAGAATACTTTTTCTAATTTCCCAAATGCTTCCGTTTCCTCCACTAGAATATAAACTATTGGGGCAGGATTCATTTCTAGCTCAAGGACTATATTTCTATCTATATAAAAATGATTATTGTAAGAATATCTATGCAGAGATTATAAGGAACATTGAAATTTTATAAGCGGTTATGAGTGCCAGGTACTATGTGAAACACTACACGTATTTGATTCCAACAACGTAGAATTTGTTACTATTATTATCTCCAGTTTGCAAATGAGGAAACTGAGGCTTAGAGGGGAAAGGAAATTGCCTTTGTCCTGTTCACTGATTCATTCGTTCACGAATAAATGAACGCTTGCAAAGGAGTCTTACAACTGCCCAGGTGGACAGATGGGGACATTACTAATGTAAGTCACAGAGAAAATGCTCACAATAAATGCAAGCTTGAGAGGTTAGCTAGTTCACTATTTAGTTCTGAAATCCTGAAATCTGGTGTGGAAGTCGGGTCAAAAAGTGGCTAAGAGTATCTGCTCCGGAGTTGAAGTACCTGAATTCAAACCCCAACTCTGCTACTAGTGACATATGCCCTGAGTAAGGTATTTGTACACTTGTATGCCGAAGCTGTCTCACCTGTGAAATGGGGATGAGAAGAGGACCTACACCTGCGGGGGCTGCTGTGATGATTAGATTACAGCCAAAGGCCACAACATGGTGAGATGTCCAAACCAAGGGAGTCACATTATTTGGAAGTTAAGTAAGTCAGCAAGATGGGCCCTCCAGCTAGTGACTCTAAGTTCCAGAGGTACGTTCCCAGTCCTGAATCTCTTTTCATTCTGCTTGAAGTTTGACACCAGAAGGCAGGCAGTGCCAGCTGATGAGGATGCTTCAGGGTCCATGGCCACCTGCAATGTCCTAGACCAGCAGTTCTCAACCTTCCAAATGCCGCGACCCCTTAATACAGCTCCTCATGTTGTGGTGATCCCCAACCATAAAATTATTTTCGTTCTACTCTATAACTGTAATTTTGCTACTGTCATGAATCGTAATGTAAATATCTTTTTGTTTTCCGATGGTCTTAGGCAACCCCTGTGAAAGGGTCGTTCAACCCCCAAAGGGGTCGCCACCCACAGGTTGAGAACCGCTGTAACCTAGACAGAGGAAGCTGCTCTAGGAACGTCCAGCTTAGTCAGTGGCCATTTCCTCAGTCACAGGAGGCTGGGCCAAGGAGAGACACTACACAGGGACTCCGCCTCACCTGTCCACTTCTGGGGCCATGGCTGCTGCCTAAGACAAGGCTGACGGATGAATGCCGGCCCTGCATGCTCTCCCCTCCCCACTAGAAACCTTGAAAAAGAGAAGATGTACGCTAGCTGGGAGGTGGGGCACAGTACAGGGGCCCATTGTCCACGGTGTAATGTCCGACTTTGCATTAGTGCAGGACCTTTGTGCGAGTGTTCTGTTTTTTACCTGTAAAGCACTAAAAGTTTCTAGTAACATAACAAGCACTAAATGAGTGTTACCTAATATTATTAGCCCAGCATAATTAAAATCCCTTCCTAACCCCAGTGCCTTACTTTCTCCCATATTGCCTATTTTCCAAAGAGTTATGTTACTTTAACAGCATTTGCAATTTCCCCAAATGTTATAGAGATCATTGAAGCACTTTGCAAAGGGAATCTTATATTTCTTCTAACTCACAATATAAAATAAGACAAAAAATCTTATTCAGAACACCCATAATTTAAATGGGCATACAGATAAAGAGAAGTAAATATCAAGGCCCAAAGAAACTGCAATGGGGTAGGAAGGAGGAGAAAACAGTGTTTGTAATTACACACTTTTATAAGCATGAGAAAATCTCTTTTTCTGAAAGCACGAATATTTCCAAAGCTAAGCAAATAGTTGTCTCTGCTCTATTTAAAACGTGCCGCCTGCAACCCTCCAATGCATGGCTCACCTGAGTAACTCCAAATAGTCAAAATAATTGATTTAACATGCACAGGATGGTAAGGACCAGTTCATACTACAATTCTCTGCCCAATTTGTTTGACATCTTATGTTTGGAATGTAAATCTTGATAAGAAGAAGAAGTCTTCTTATGCACTGTCATTTTTCAAGTGGGTTTGATCCAAATGTTAGCATATAAAACAGATAATAACTTTGAACAAATGAAAGCAGTGATTCTTCTATAGCCCAATATTATGTAGAAATGCCTCCTATTTTTTAATTTTTATTTTTCCATGGTTTCTATTTCTTTAACAATGTAGAAAATTGGTTTAGTATCTTGGGAATTTTAAACTTTTGGTATCTATCAATAACTGTTTTTTTCAATTTCGAGAAATAATGTTTAATTTAAATAGCTGACGATACTCATATGGAGGTTTTATCTGTTTTAGTTTTCAGGTAACAGCAATCTAATTGGATGAAACAGTCACTTCCTCGGCAATGCCAGCCCAGCGCACAATTAGAAAGAAACCTGAAAATAGAGTATCACTGTTTGAGATTCCTATGGCAACAAAAACATGCTATATAAACTCAGTGCAGGGCTCAGCAAACTGCAGCTCGGGAGCCACACGCGACTCTGTGGGTACGTTCCGTCTCAAAAGTTTGCCGACCCCTGGAAGAGCCAGTTCTGTCCCTCCCAACAACTTAAAAATTATCGAGAGCCATAAATATGTTTTTACATAATCACCATTATGTGAGTAATATCCTTTAAAATTTTTATAAATGAAACTATGATAGTTTTGTTTTCATTTTCAATTTTACTTCAGAGCCTGTGGCTCATGAGCTGCAGTTTGCTGACCCCTGGTGGCTCTTCCGTCTCAAAAGTTTGCCGACCCCTGACTTAGTGCCCCTCAAGTACAACCAAAGCTCTCTCCTTTAGACTAGTGGCATAGCATTATGCTCACCAGTCTCATCTTTGTTTTCTGAACTGTCAGCTAGCTCAACCGAAATTTTTCTATGCAAAGGCAGCTGCATAGAATCTATTTGTACTTTATTTGAAAGAGTCACTGAAGGAGGAAGAAAGGCACACAATACAGAATATGATAAAGAAGAGTATTAGAGGAAATGACGCCTAGAGGCTGCAAATCATTAGCATCGCTGATACATTTGCAAATTCCCACTGAGCCAAATTTGCCTGCAACAACAGGATATTTCCACCAAGTGCCTTTTCTGGTTTCTCACACCATTTTATTTCAAAAGCATTTTATGAGAACTCTGCTCCACATTCTACTTCCCATCTGGTTCAGATTTAAGGAAGTATCCCACCCTATTCCTTGTTAGGCTCCAAAAACAGATGTCCCCATGCCATGTAAATGTGGCAGGTCACACTACTTCAGCTAACTTCTCTGGCTTCCTTTTCTTCTCTTGAGTTAAGGTGACCTTGAGTTATCTGTAAGCTTTTGTGCCATCTCACCTCAGAAGTAATAAAAGGGCCCAGGTATTTAAGGATATCGAACAGGTTACGCTCTTGTTGGACGACGCAGCTCTACCCAGGAAGGAAGAGGGCAGCAATGCCTCTTGTGGGATTTAATACTGGGGACTTCCATGGTGCCCTCTGCCATCACTGTAATTACCATCAGCAAACTTTTATAACCACTATATACACCAGGAAGCTATGCACAAAGTACATAAGTCAACGTTCTCCAACGTGAAGGGCTCGTTAATACATATTCCTCAACAGACCTCTAAGCATGTATATAGAAAAAAAATCATACTTGTAAACAGTTCTGAGATATATACATTTGAAATATTATAAATAATTCTCTTTATTGCCTGAGATTCAGAAACAAAAGCATTTAATTTGTATCTACTGTACCTAATTATATTTTAGGAAACATGATTTCATCCAGAGAATACTAAAATCTGTATAACATCTTTTTTTCATAAATGGGTTCTACTGTATCATATAATTATGCTTAATTGAGCTCTGTTTATAGTTTTAATCATGTATTTATAACAACTCAAATTTTGATAGACAGTGCCGGGAGTCTCTGTAGACAGGCTACAAAAATGAATTAAAATGCCCCTACTGGATATCAGTGTTATTGTAAAAACAAAAAAATTGTACATCAAAGTATTAAAAAGTAATCATGTGAGGGGCCGGCCATGTGGCGCGTTGGTTGGGAGTTGGCTTGGGAAGCCAGCTCTGAGCAGCAGGGCCCCGGTTCGGATCCCACATGGGCCAGTGACACTGCACCCTCTACAGCTAAGATGGTGAACAACAGCTCGACCTGGAGCTGAGCTGCCTTGAGTCGCCAGCGACAGTGCGTAGGCTGCAGTGGGGCTGGCTGGCAGCTGGTGTGAGCTGCCGTGAGCGGCCGTCCAACGGCTGGTGAGTTACTGCCTCACCTGGGAAGAGCACAATGATAA